TAATTCTTACTTGGTTTTGTCAAAAAGGTGGAAGTGTCATCTGTAAGTCATTTCTTTCAGTTAGTATTGATCATCATCCTCCAATCAAATTCAGAAAGTCTATCTTGCATCGTGTGCTTGAGACGAAGCCCCTCTATAAGAATGGATTTTTTATTATTTGATCAGTTAAGTTTTCTTTTTTAGGCACCGGACAATAAAATATGATTCCATCCCTACTATGTATGTCAAAGTTCTAGTATTTACCATCAATTACTCAGCCAATTGTTTGGTCGCGTGTAGGATATGTTGTGTTTTAGTTTTCCGTACGAATTAAAATAATTGCCTTCTCTTAGGCAGATTGCAAATTTCATCAACATTTATTATATTGTCGCTTTCTCTACCGGTTTTAGATGCAAATCATCCCATTATTTATTCGCCATAATCCTCATCTCTTCCTTTCTTTTTCTGTAGAGTAAACGAACGCTTCTCGAAAGCAATTCAGAAAGCTCTTTCCAGTAATGGAATTGATAATGAAGACAACGATTGGGATTCGGATTCAAACAACTTCCTCGATACGATACGGTACGGAATAGACAGCATACAGACCTTCTCGAATGCAAGTTGAAAAGCACACGTCGAGATTAAAAAGCTATACTAAGATTGGCCAGATGAAGGGAAATAAATCGACCAGAGCTTCTGACTGCTTATCACATGAAATATTAATGCAAAAGATGATTGCTTACGGCTTCGATGCAAATTGCATTAAATTTATGAAGAGATACTTTAGCGATATGTATCACTGTGTTTTTAAATAAACAGTTGATAAGGTATGGAGTGCCTCAAGGCTCTGTACTTGGGCCAGCCCACTCTTAAACAGATACATTTTGGGAAAATCTATTAATGGCATGTTATACACGACATTTGAGGGCACATTTCTAAAATATTGGCAATTATAGGGGGTGTCCCAATTTTGACCTACATATCAAAGTTGTGATTTTTTAAGTGGAATGCCTCAAATTTTATTGCTTACTTGGATAAAACAAATCAAAAGAAGAAGATTGATATAACATACTATGGTGTTTTGGTAATTAGCTATTGAGATATGAGGTATTTTGTCTAGAAAAACCCACACCTCAACTTTTATCTTCTTTGTTACTTTTTTGAATTTTCGTTTTTGCTCATACAGGGTGGTCAAAAAAGCGAATTGTACTGTTTCTCAAGAACTTCAAATGCATCACCCTGTATATTTGTGCAAGTTTGGATTCAATTTTTTAAGCTTATTTTTAGTAGAAGTTTTGATTCAGATAAGATCACTAGATTTATATATATAAGTATATATATAATATATATATAAATTAAGGAAAAAAATCACATCATCCATGGAAACAAAAGACAAACAGTGGACTAGTTCCATATTGCCACTAAGAGTACAGATTTGACGTAAAGACTAATAAAAACTCAGAACAGTATAAATCAGCTTCAAGCGTAATAGAGCAAAACAACTATAACAATAACATAAACAAACAACTATCACTAGTCAAGACCTAATCTACAAAAACTGCTCGAAAATATCTCCATCATGTTGAATACACAGCCGTAGTCTTTGGATAAATGACCGTTGCACATCCCTCAGCACGTGTTCCCTCATGTTCAGAAAAGCATCATTAATCCTTTCCTTAATATTTTCCGCGGTAGATGGTGGATATCTATAAACCTCTTGCTTAACGTAGCCCCATAGAAAGATGTCCATCGGTCTCATATCTGGTGATCTAGGAGGCCAAGATATAGGCCCATCACGACCGATACAACGATTATTACTCCAGGTGTCCAAATAGTTCCAGGTTGGAATTACATATGCATCCGATTTTGCAGGTTGACATCCTCCAAAACCAAATGGAAATGCTCGATCAAAAAATTCAAGTATTCTGTACCTGTTAATCTGTTGTCGAAAAAGAAAGACCCGATAACTTGACTGCCAACAACTCCTCTCCAAACATTCAAGCTCCATTTATTTTTTAAATCTATTTGCCTAATATAACATCCCATAAAAAGATTTTCCAATATGTATTTGTTTATGAGTAATATTCTGTCCACACATGGATGGGCCACCCTGTATATACGTTAGAACTAAACCAAATTACAACAGCTTCTGAACCAACTCGCCATGTGAACGGACAAAGGTGCATAGTGAAAACCTGGTGTCAAGCCAATTCTTTATGCATCAATCAGTTGAAAACTCAACAACTAAGTCTCAATCTTAAACTCTTGAAAGAAAATACTGAAGCCAATCAACTAAGATAGCCGCATATTATGGGCATTTCCAGTCTTGAATCAGCAACTTTATTATTAAGTGGGGCAATCCTGCTTGTCTCTCTTATGACGCTTATTATAAAAACCCATTTTAAAACTTCAATATCCTTACACATTCTTGCGTCTATATTTTATAATGTGTCCGTTACATGGAAAGTATCATTCACCTATTTAACAAGCATTTAGATGCGCACACATACAAGATTTTTGAATCGTTATCACCCTAATCACTTAATACTCAACAATTCGGTAAACTATCATTGTACAAATAAAGTCTTACGATGTTACACGAAAAGCTCAAGACCTTAAATGATGCATAGTTCCAGGGGCGGCTGGTCCTTAAGTTCTGCAGAGCTGCAGAACTGCCAAAACTTTTGTCTTAACTAAAAAAGCAGTAGTAATTTGATCGTTATTTATTTTCCATGTTATCACACAAATAGAAACAATACCGGCAACGCTGCCCCCGCAAGATACGGCGTCGGGGCTGTTTTGTATTGAGAAAGCATTATAATCGACCAATTGTGTACTTGTGGTTTTCGTCGCGACCGCAGCATAACATTATTCATGGGCCACTTGAAAAGGGTCTGTGCACTACTTCGACACAAGCCGCACGCGCTTGCTTTTGTCTCTCTCTCTACGAAATCAAATGCGCGACTAAGCATAAGCATGTGCTTCACGTTATACAGATCCATACAGATCTAATGCGAAGTACTCGTACAATATCTGATTGGTCGGTCGGTGCTCGATATAAAATTTTGCGGAGCATTTGAATTGACGCTACGGAGCCACGACGAAACCGAGAGCTCCCAAAACCCGGGAATATTTCGTGGACTGATTAATTTTTCTGCTGAGCTTGATAGAACCTTAAGCGATGACATAAAAAATGCTTCAATATTTAAAGGAACTGGATTGTATTCTTGAAGTTTGTCTTGAAAAAATAATAAAACAGATTAACAGAGCCTCGTATTTGGCGATAATAGCAGGACATTTCGGGGAAAGCCCAACTAGTAACAATTTTCAGATACGTATTTAACGGCGAACCAGTAGAACGTTTTTGGAATTATGTATATGAATCCCGAAAAATGTGACGCTGATACTCCCACAAGACATATTTTGAGCGTGGTAGATCCATTAATAGGAAATTTTCCTAACAAACTGATTTCACAAAGCTATGATGGAGCCGCGGTAATGAGCGGACATAATGCTGGAGTACATGCAAAAATTAAACAAAGATATCCATTTGCTCACTATGTGCATTGCTATGTGCATCAGTTAAACCTGATTATGTCCTAAGCTGCTTCCGCAAAGTTCGGGTGTTCTTTGGGGATTTGAAAGATATTCGGGATTTTTCAATAAACGCGTAGAGATACTGAACAGAATTGTGGGGAAAAAAATCCCCAAGGAGCAACAACTCGTTGGAATTTTAATATTCGAACAATACATGTCGTCGTTGAGAACAGAATCACTCATTGAATGCATGGACGAAATAGAAGAAAATTTCACTAATGAAACCGTTTGCAAGGCAGCTTGCGGTATTCGCCGTATGTTAAACGATTCTGTTTTCGTGTTTTGGTTGACATTTTTTCATCTTGTCATGCCTCACGTCGCGACATCTTGTTCAACCAGTTGCAGAAGAGAAAAACCGAGCCAGCGCAAGTTAAAACCGCTATCGATAATTTTGAAAAATGTATTGTCAATGTGAGAAATAAAATTGATGACATAATAAATGAAGCCAAAAGTATTTGCACTGAACCCTAAGGCAACAAGAGGAGACGACGTAATAATAGCAGTCACGATCACCGAGATGCCGCATTAGAAGTATAGGACAATATAGTGAATTCTGCAAATGACAGATTTCAATGCAAAGATCATTTGGTAGCCGCATCCCTTTTTTTCCCCGAACACTTTGGAGAAAACTGTGGTAAGTTTCCTGATCACAAGTTGGAAACTACGTGCTTGGCTTATCCCGAATTAGAAAAAGGTCGTTTAAATACAGTTGTCTGTTATTTATGCACGGAATGATTACCGAGATTTACATGGAACTCTGTCTCTTCTGAAATTTTTGATACAAAATAGTTTGGAGGAAACACACGTTCAGTGGCGGCTCTATGAATGCTTTGCTATGGAGAACGACGATTCAATTGCGATTGCACTTCTATTATCATTATCAAAAAAGAAGAAAAAGATACAGTCAACAACATACTCCTTCAAAGTTAGAAAACCAGACTGAATTGACCTTACGTTGAAGCTCATGAATTTTAGACGTCTAGACATATTGAAAACATCTGGCGAAGGCTTATTCTTAAAGAGCACCCAACGTATTTTGCCAGTAAAATGAGTATAACCACATGATAAATATATTAGATCTATACAGAATAAAGACAACGCAACAATTATATGCAATACTAATAAAAACACCCGGATAAACAGAACAGAATAATAAATCAATAAAACTAGGTATAGGAAGGCGATGAGATGAGAATAGTACCATAAAAACTTATTTGTTTAGATTTAACAGTCACACACTGGTAATAAGGACAAAATTGAGATCAACGGTTAATGCTTACATTTTGCAATGGATGAAAAGTAAATAAATACCATATATTCTATAAGTAGTATAAATAATCGGTACATGCTGAAAGTGTCAAAAATATACCAAGAACAACCGGTATTAGTAAAATATACTCGTGATGGATAAAAATAATATTTCTTTATTTACTGGTGCTCTTGATTCTGGTGGATCTCTTGGGTTTTTCCTCGACAATGTTTTTTCTTTTCAAAGAGTTTCTTGAATTTTCTCCTGTATTTTGAGGTTCTACATTCAGCTTCAGAATTGCCGCCGTTAAAACATCGGGAGTCCCCTGTGATAAATCGTCAGAGGTAAAGATGTCCTCTCCTATGTGAAGTGTATGGTTTTGTATTTTCGCTTCCAGTCCAGCACTTTTAGCCACCTTCAAGTTTGTATACAATATTTTTCTTTGTTGATAATCTTGTTTTGTGTAATCCAAACTTAAATATATTCCAGAATCTTTCAGCTTCTTCGAATTCTCCAGGCTTACTTTCTTTAGTTGATAATTTATTACTTCGGCGACAACCGGTCTGATTTTGTTTTCTTGCTTCCTCCCTATTCTGTGTATATCCCGGAAATCAGCAAGGCTACATTTAACTTCCAGCTTTTCATTGAATATTTTCAAAATACTGTCCAAGTCAGTAACTGTATCTCCAGCTTCTTTCACTCCATAAAATATTACATTATACTTTTTCACTTGGCGTTCTGTACTATTCAGTTCTTCTTCTAACTTGTCGATTTTTTCTTTTAACTTTTTGTTTTCTCTTTCTAGGTTATATAGCTCTGTCGTGATGTCTTGTCTTAAAATTTGGATTTCCTTCTTGATCTCTTCTTTATTGTTATGGATATCTTGCTCTATTTGAGTATTTTTTGCTAATATACTGTGCAGTAGGTCGTAGATTTGTTTATTTGAGATATCATTAACTTCTTCAATCATAACGCTCCTCGAAATTGTGCGTGAGTCTACTGGTCTATTACAGTTTCTTTTTGCGATATTGTTGTGCACGTGCGTTTGCATCTACTATTTTGTTCTTACATGCTAAAATACCTTGTTTTTTGTAGGTAGTGTAGTTGGTAGTGTCTGCTATGGATTTGATGCAAGATTGGTAATTTTCAATGCTGTTGTACCTCACAAACATGCACTTCAACAGGAGTAATACAACAAACACGTTCGACTCGTTCGACACGTTCGACTCGACTCCAAACTCATCTTACTTATCCCGCGGCATTCGACAGCATTGTTCACACGCAGTTTCTCGTACTGGGCACCCAAACTATATAACTGCTTATCAAGTGAGTATAAAGAATATAGCCTAAGCAATTTTAAAAAAAGGTTAAAGATGAGTTTAAAGCAGTCGGATGGCTAAAATTTTACTTTATGCATATCCACAGGTAATTGATTGTTTCCTTTCTCTGAAGTGTTATATTCTAAGTTTTTTTTTTTCTCTCTCTCTATAGTTTGTGTCAATGTTTTCCAGGTCGGGTTGAAAAACAGCATAAGCTGACACTCCACCTTTTCGTCACTGTTCCTTTTAAACCAATTATTTTGTAATCGTGTGACGAATAAAGGCCATTTATTATTATTATTATTATAGATACGTCGGTATTGGATGCATCCGTTAAACAGTCGGAGAATATACGTAAGTCCATTATATCTAAAAACACATCCAGATAAATTCTTTGATTTCTACAGGATGTCAATATAATCTTTCGATGAACTTTAGTGATGAATTAAGGAAGGATACCTGGATGAGATTATTTCTGAATACACAACATAGATTTACAAACCGAGGCCCAAGCATAAGAGACGAGCTCAGTACTTCATGATGCCGGCAGATGAAATATCATACCTACATGACGAAAGGTTTACCAATTTATAACAATAAAAGTACAGTAGGCAATAGTCTTTGTAATAAAAGTGAAAGAAAAGTAACTTTACTCTTGTTTTCTGTTTCCACTTTTGTGCACCAGTTCCAATCCTGTATAACCTCTTTGAAAACTTGCACCCACGCCAAATCTTTGACAACTCTATTGTGGTAGTCTTGTCATGAATATCCCACACCAGGAGTACTTTTCAACAGCCAATGTTAGTTCTTCTGCTTCACGCATTGTCCTGATGCATTCGAGCTCTTGATGCAACGACGTGACGTCCAATACGCACGTCACTGCGCGGTTTAGGATGAAAATTTCCAACTGTGTGCGGCGATACATTAAGGCGAGAATACACATGCTTGTTACACGCACAGAAGCATGCCAGTTACTGGATTGTGCGTGCTACTTGCATGTGTGACTTTCTTTGCCAGCAAGAAAGCACGCTAGAAGATAGCACGCCAGTAGATCGCAAGACGTTTGATTTTTGTGTGCCAGTAGCAGGATTTCGTCGAGGGAATGGAGGGGAGGCAACATGCGAGTCATGTTCAAAGGTGTGTGAACGACATCGTTACCAGAAACTCGCATGTGAAAAACGGATTCTTGAACTATAGAACTATTTGTTTAGTTCCGGGCAAAATGGTTCGTTGGGGAGACGAAAAGACTTTGTTTGTTATGCAGTATAGGGAGTATCCGTGTTTATGGAATACATGATCTCCATTGTATAAAAATAAAATCGCTAGAGACAATGCTTACAAGTCTTTATTGAAGCAAGTGACTGATAACAATTTAACATTGAAATTTATGAAAAATAAGATAAAAAACCTAAGAACAACGTACCACCAAGAGTTAAAGAAGATAAAGGAAAGTTTTCACAGACTGGCATATCCAAAACTAGCATGTGTATTTTGGGATATCGTAGGACAAGTAGTTAGCATACAAGTTACTGGCCACTGGCATGCTATTTTACTGGCATGTGTATTCTCGCCTTATCAAATGTATGCCAGTGCTGCGTTTCGCATGACGTCACTAGGTTTGATGCGTACCGTTTTCACGAACGCACGGGTTTGCTTCCGAAGCGTACGTACGGAATGTGTGCCGTTCGGAAAAAACAATACGTATGCGATACTCAGTGTGTTTTATTAGCCTTTCGTGCATTCGGGTCTCCGAATACGGAAAACGAATACGGAAATCGAACGCGGAAAACGAATGTATGCGCCCTGCCTTATAACTTCATATTTTGGCTTGTCTAACCCAAGGGCCATCCAAAATGTACTGTGTTTTAGTGTTCGTCAATATTTCAAAATTGTCCGTATGACACAAATAAAATACTTCCACTGTACTACTCCGTCCACTGTTACATCTAGATATCCATAATTGATATTATACATAGTCGCATACGGAAAGTGATTCACCCTGTTATTAACAATGCTTCAGCGATGAAAGACAAAACTTTATTCATTTATTATATAGTTCGATCATAAAATCTCTCAGAACTAAAACGTTGCGAAGTTTTAGTTTCACATCTATTGATTGTACTTATCTACATATTTATTTAAGCAGAAAAAAATCTCCACTCCAACCAAACATTCCCCACATGGATTCGAAATATTACAATGGAGGCACAAAATATTCAAGAGCCTGGCGTCCGTATAACTAAGGGGAAACATCAAAGTCTGGACTGAGTGAACATGTTTGTTAAACATAGCTGCCTTAAAATGGGATCAATCTTTTATGCTACACAAAGAGAATGATAATTACAAAGGATGTCTGAATGAATATTAACCAAGCTTACAAGCCAGCCATCTCTCTGTTCTTGGATTTTAAATGTATTTCGTGTATACTCATATGTATACCCTGGAGAAGCCATAATGTTATATTTCTCATAGATTCTGCAGGACAAACTTCAAGAGTTTATTTATTCAGCGCATTGTTTATTTAATCGCGGATACAACAATTATTATTATTATTGCCCAGATAAAATGTTACCAAAAGACTCATGGCATGATTTCCAAAATCGCATTAATCACATTTATACGCTTCTATAATTTGAAAATAGGTTTGTGGATATGTAACAGGTATCCAGATAGGAGGAAATTAATTCTATCCTAAAACGCAGGCAGATATCAAACCCTGACCTTTTATCGATTCAAGGCATCTATTCTAGATTTAATGCAACCTATCGCCCTTCAGAACATTTGAGATGCTTTGTGACGTGTTTGCCGTTGAGGTTCGGAATCGATGCTGCTTGTTTTATCCTCCGTGACGTTTTTCTTATTGTGCATAGTCTCGGAGTCTGAATCTGGAAATTTTGTTTCGCTAACTACAGTTTTCACTACTGTATGTTGCAACATGGTACCGCTTAGAAATAGATATATAGAATATTTGTATTTATTGGCCTTGCATATGCAGCACAAGTCTTGCATTGCTTAATAATATTATATTATACGAGTACTTGAAAAGAAATCTAAAAATCAAGAAACCACTACCACCGAATGTCAACCTAATTGTTATTAACATCAAAATTCAATTCATATATTTTATATCTTACTTTCTGAAACAGATATCTATGTTATTCTTTGACCTGTTTCTCCCTTTATACTCATTTTTAATTATTTGTCAATTATTAGAGTATGTGTTTTTTTAGTACTGGATACATTAATCACGCATAAGTTAAAATAACTCCATTTCTATCCAATGTTTTAACATAGATTGTTTATAGAAACATTATAATTAACAGAATCATATTGACCTCAAAAATAACGAAAACGTCATTTTAAGCTTAGTGCACTTCAAACACTGTCGATTTACTGATGCAAGTGATCCTATTCCATGTTAAACGCAGTCTTAGCGTCCCTTTCCAGTATCGGACGTGTTATCGTGGCACAATACATTACATATACAGGATGCTCGAGGATTCCGTTACATTCAGGCCAATCTAATAAAAGTGTGTTAAATATCAGGTTATAATGGATTAAAAATACAACAATATAGTGTGAACTAAAAATATGAATATAATCTAAATCCAAGTAATGTTTCATATTATATGGTATAAGCACATGTAAAAATATAGCTCTTTATCTAAAAATTCATTTTCGCTATAAAATGCGTGTCTCATGAGAAAACTTCCGAATTTCGCTCAGAATTTAATGAAGGTTTTGAGTGCTCTAATACTGTGAGGTAAACTGTTAAATTAATAAGACGACACAATAATTGTAGATAGGAGGCTTTTCAAAGTATGCCTCTGAATGGGTCTGTGGTTGGCGTGTCGGATGTCATATTGATGGTTTTGTGACAGGTCATCACTTACTCTTAAAAAATGTCATGCAGGTTGACTCTTCACTTGCCTCGCAATACCGTCAACAGTTCATAAAGGATTACGTTCATCACAAGTTAGACTAGCTAGTTACGAACATGCATAATAAATAAATTTTATGGATCAGGTCAGTCAAATGGGTCCACACGATTAGTCGTTAGACATTCCTTCCCTGCCCTACCGGCAGTCCACCTAGCAACGTCGCCTCTTCCCGTCAGATGCGGCAGCGCAACAATGAGGCCAGAACACTTAGCAAGAGAGCAAAAACAGTGGCGCATATCGAAAACCTTTCTCTGCCATTATAAGTTTTAAGAACAAATGTGTGAAATATGTCTAATAGGTGTGTACAACTACCCAGGTTTGGAGTTTATAAACATACTAACAAATTGAGATAACCCTCTCCCACCCCCCAATATTTGTCCCTAAAGGTTTTCTAAAAATGAAGTTTGAGCGATTTTTATTTTTTTTTTCTTCCGTCATTGGCCTTTTCCTCCGTTGTCACTGGATCGATTTTCAAAAACTACTAAATCAGTGACATGGTTTTCGTGATGTACATGCGATAAAACATTCAAAAAAAACTATCTTCGAAATTTTTCGTGATTACAATACTTCCTCCCATTGCCCAGTGGAAGTAAAAATAACACCTCTAAGTATACAGGGTGTTAGCGAAATAGTATTCGTAACATCAAAAGGTGATTCCTTGCATTATTCTAAGCAAAAAAGTTCATTATAACATGTCCTAAAATCAATCG